GGCGGGGAGGGGGCACCGACCTGCTTCTGGGCGCGCACGACGCGGGCGACGCGGCTGCTGTACTTGTCGTTGCTGGCCTTGTTGTACTCGCTCATGGCGAACTGCAGCGCCCGCTGCACGCCCTCGTCGTTCTCGTTCGCATCCTGCAGCCCGCCCAGCAGCCGCGACCGGCGCCCGCCCTCCTTGGTCCCGGCCGCCGCCGCCGCCACCGCCGCCAGCAGCAGCAGCGCCAGCGCCGCCCAGCGCCACTCGCCCCGTGTCATCGTCATCGCCATCAGCTCGTGCTCTGATCTGCTTTGCCGCACGCAGCTGTCCTCGGCCCCCGGGCCCCGCTATATAAAGCCAGCCTTGGCACCTGCCCCGCCCGTCGCGTCACTGCAGGCTGTGCTGGGCGGGGGGCGCTGCTACGCCCCACGCTCACGCACGGCGGGGCTCCCCGCGGCTGCGCGCGCACTCCTGCGTGTTTACGCATCTCTGTGGCGGACACACCCTGTATATACTCTGTGCTCCCCTCAGGCTGGCGCACGCGTACATGTTCAGAGAGCTGTCTCTCACGCACACCCCCCATAAATACTCTGTGCTCCCCCAAGCCTAAGTGCGCACACACGTTTGGAGATGACACACACACCGTAAATAGTCTGTGCGCCCTCAGGGCTGCTACACGACACCTATGTGGTTAGACATCTCTCTCACACACACACAGACATGCCTAAATACTCTGTGCTCCCTGCAGGGTTGGTGCACACATGTAGGTGTTTAGAGATCACACACACACCATAACTACTCTGAGGGAGTGGGCACATGTGCCACCTGTGCTCTGGCCCCACTGGGACACACTGCCTGAGCTCTCATGTGGCAGGTACATGCACATGTTATATAAGAAGCAAGGGTAAGATGTTTGGTGGATAAAACTGTAATTTAAGCAAAGTGAATTTGATGGCAGTTATCATGGAAGTATTATGTAATTTCTTGAAATTGTATTTGTATTCCCTTTGTGAGGCTTCGGTTGGGGTCATTTTTTTAATCTGCTTGATACTATCTGTTTTCTAATGCTTAAAAAAAATGTTTAGAGAGATAACCCCCCCCCATATCCTGAGATAACAGAGACACGTGCTTTCAGTGCTGACACAGTGTCTGTGCTCCCCTATGGCACATGCACACACATGCTTAGAGATCACCTGCCCTCCACATCCTGAGGGAAGAGGCACAAGCACTGCCTGTGCTCTAGGCCACTCTGACACATTGCCTGTATTCTTCTCTCTCACACACACACACACACACACACACTCTCTCTCTCTCTCTCTC